ACTCCACGGCACATAACAACAACAACTAATTTAAAGGAGTTCTGGTGTGATGCTGGAGAATAAGCATTGGACTACTAACCGAAGGTCGACAGATCAAATCCACCAGCCGCTCCTCAGAAACCCTATGCAGGGTCTCTATGAGTTAGAACCGACTTGACAGAACTTAACAACAACAAATTGAGGGGGAATGTTGTGTCCAGGAAAAAAAAAAAAAAGCTTACAATTGCTTGTACAAGGGAAAGTTTGAAAGTTAATGTCTTAAGTGCTGATGAGTCGGTTCAGACTTATAGTGACCCTGTATAGGGTTTCGGAGGAGTAGATGGTGGATTTGAACTGTCGACCTTGTAGTTTGCAGTCCAGTGCTGATTCTATAGAGCCACACCAAGAGTCCAGTAAAAATATATTGCTACAAAATGATAGAAACCTACCTTTATTAAAAAATAATATCAAAATATGAAGCTATTGTTTCTTGCCATATTCTCCTAGATTTACACGCTTCTGAAAGTCGTGTTTCCATCTTTCCAGCTTTTCCCATGAAGAATTTTGCACTCTTCTATTTACACCATGTTAAAGCAGCAGTATTGGCATTCAGGGAGGATTCAAATTATGCTTCTTTCAAATACTCTTTGGGTTTGGAGAACAAAAGGAAAACTGAAGGGACAAGATCAGGGTTTTAAGGATGAATGGGATAAGGTTTTCCAACAGAATTCTCTTAAGGTAGCCCTCGTTACACTGGAAACATGAGCAGGTGCATTGTTGAGATGGGAAAAACTTCCTCGGCACAACTTGCCTGGCTTTTTTCTCACCAGAGTAGTTTTCCATTTTCAAAACACTTCTTCCTGATAAATCTCCATGATCATCCTGTGTCCATCAAGGATATCTACCAAGACTAGCACTTCGGAATCCCCAGAAAACAGTCTCCATAAGCTCGTGAGCCAACTTCTATTCCTTGAATGAAATTGGCCCAGCAGATCCCTTGAAATATACCCTTTGATTGGACCTTTTTTTAAGGCACTGTAATGATACTGTTGTTGTTTTATGCCACCCAGTCAATATCAACTCATACCAACCCTATATAGGATTTCCAAGGAGCAGACTGTAGATTTAAACTGCTCACCTTGTGGTTTGTAGTCCA